GATTGTTTGTGGTAATTAGTTTAGAGTTTTCCCACGCAATCTCGTGTTTGGTGTAACATACATGTTCGGCTAAAGCTGATTTTCCCTTGTCTAAAGTTGAAACAGCCTTTTGATGTTCTTTTAGCCGTGTACCAAACTGGCGTTTAGACTGACCCAAATACTCTTTGTCGCAGTCACCGCATGGTATAGAATATATAGCATGAGTCTTCTGATTTTTTTCAACAGGATCTTTTGGCTTTGCGAAAATATGGCCTAAGGTCAAATCAACCTCGTTCCCAGGGTCTCTCCGTCTGTCATCTGGGAAAGACCCTGGCTGCGGCTGGTCACGTGCCTCCCAGATTCTGGGAGGTAAATTTAATTGTAACTGTGAGAGTGGTGAGAAAGGAGCGTGTTTGTAGCGTTTTAAAATTGCAATTTTGGGTGATGAAATTTACTGTAAATTTGCAACAAGAAATCGTAAAGAGAACTCTTAAATTAATATTTATATCGTGACGCTCTACTGTATAATCTGGTGTCGAGTTACAATTCAAGCAAGTTGGATCAAATCTCAATATTCAACTTATAGACTTGCCAAAGAAAGCACGCTTGCCGCTTGTGCAGCATGGCGATATTAAAACCTACAAGAAAATATAGATCTCTAGACCGAACAGTGTGGTTGTTATTTATTTTGTATTAATGTCTATCCTGATACTCGGACCAAAAGAATTTATTTATTGATGAGATGTGGAATTGCAACGAAATAGCGAGATGTTTTGATTTCCGAAATATCGCCAACTGTATCCAGATTGTTGATCTATATTTAGGCCTTATCAAAAAAACTTAAAGCCCGTCAAAACACTATAAAATTGGCCCTTGGCATTGCTGAAACCAACGATCATGGTATATGTATAGCTGTCTGTTGAAAATCTACGGTATTAAAATCATACACCAAAGATAAGTCAAACGACAAATTATATGTCACTATATTATGCATGTCTTTCAATGAGCACTGTTTAGTAGTGTTCACTACCTTTATAAATTTTGTAAACAGCTTTCATTTTGACATGAATAAGCTTTAATTTTTTGCTGTATATGCATTCTTAATAATACAAGTGAGATTTAAATTTTTGCTTTGACTTTGTGAAATAGAATACCGTTATTTTTTAATGGACAGCTTGCATCGTCTATATCATATCCAGGATTGCTCGTGTGTAAACGCATTATTCAGTATATGACACTATCAAATAAATATAAGTAGTAAATGATTAATGAAAAAGAGATAAACAGGTGATTCACAATGAAAACTTTAAAAATGTTAGTAGAAGTAGGCTAGAAAACTCGAAAATTTATGTCTATTCGTATGATGCCAATGACGGTTTGTGCGCATCTGACACTGTAAATTTGTGATATAGATTATAGTATGTTAACACGATATAATGATTAATAGAGACAAAAAAGGCTAAAGTGTTACTATAATTACCGAATACGAATTATGCACTAAATCCAGATAAACCAATGACTGAAATTTCCTCTATACTTATAGACATTTCTCTGTTCGGCTATTATCAAATGTTTACATTTGCTAATATTGGGTCAGTCGACTCAGTCCTAGACAATACTGTTTCTTTTACAAATCTTATAAACAAGACGCGTAGTAACAAGTGAATTGGTACAAAGCGTATCAACGTTTACAAGAAAGGACGAATGTAATGGCGTATTTTAAAAACATTACAATATTAAAAGGTTTGTTATAACCGCGCTCGATTGTGAAGAGAGCATGCATTGAATAACAACTCTCTCCTCCGCAGAGGCTTTAATTGGCTATGAAGGCGCGAAGCAACCTCGTCCCCAGGCTCTTCCTCGTGGTGGCGCGTCAGCTGAGGAAGACCCTGGTAAAATACGATGAAATCTCCAAGATTCTTGAGATTTATCGCATGCGCAGTAACGACAACGTTATGTTGCTGACTACAATTAGCGCTGGCGCTTACGATTTTCTTGCTTAAAAATATACATGTTTTGTTGATTGTTTATGTATTTATTCTCAAAGTTTTAACAAATTTTACGAAAAATACTTCAGATATAAGCTGTGAACACACATGTACACAAAACTGTGCAACATTCATCATCATATTGTATCAATTTGTCGGAGTATGACGCTCATATTTGTGACATCGTTTTGTTCGCTTTGGCAACCCTCGTATATATCAGATGCTGTTCGGCCTCAAATGCGACTGAATAAACACTGATTGTGTTGCCTGGAATATGAAATGATATTGACTGATTGTTCTGTATATCAAGGTATGTACTGTACATTTATACTGAATTTATTCGATTTTTTTCACACGTCGCTTTCACATTTTCACAGAGTCTCGGAAATCACATTTTCTAATAAACACAGTTTCACACATACAGAAAGACTCCATTTCACCCATACAGAAAGACTTCTTCAGAAATCACAGTTTTTAACATACAGAAAAACTTCATATTATCTCATCAGTTAATCCAATTATGATAACAGTAGAAATGCTTAGAAAGATTTTATTCTGTTCCATATACAGTACAACTGTTATTTCAATTTTCTCTTTCCTATATTTTATTTAAAGCAGGTACTGTTCTGTTACAAAACAACTAATAAACATTTTATTATTTTAACAGGTGAACCATATTTTACATGAACTTGGGAAAAAAACCAACTTGGATTCCATGGAAAATTGGAAATATATATAATCATGTCATCAATCAGATAGTAAACAATCATTAAGATGGCCTCAAGATTATATTTCACAGTGACCAACATGAAAATTTTTAAATGGGAATTAGTTGATGGCATTATAGTTTTCTAATGCTATATAATTTTGTTCATCAAGGTGAAGAAACCTTAACTCACTATACCTTTTCCTGTTACAGAGCTATGGTAGTAATCTTTGAAGATTTTCATGATCCCTCTATCCAGTAGTTAACCAGTCTAGTATTATGACTGTATTATGTTAAATAGCCTTGTTTGACTTTTGTATTTTGTTTCTTTAATAATACATTTACAATGGTCAAAATTACAGTTTAATATTTGTATTTCTAATGATAATTACTTGCATATATCCATCACACTTCTCTGTTACTATTAAACTTATTACTATCATGCAACTAAAATCTCTTGGGAAAAATAAAATGTTGTCCCAGGATGGTCATAAATATCAGCTAGTAAAACTAATGAATATACCTTTAATCATGTACATATGACTATCATATAATATGTTGTAATTCCTTTAAGTGTTTCAAATTAAATAAATTTTTATTTTCAGTTGTTCATTGTTCAAACTTATTTGAAACCTACAGTATATGTAGTTGCTATGATTCAAATTAATATCCAAAAGTGTGCCTTTTACTTCAGTCCTTATGGACTCCTCCCTAATACAGACACTTTATTGTGCTACTCCAATGTTCATTCAAAGTGATCCAACTGGCATCTCAGCTGGTGATAATATACAGCAAAGTATTGGAACTAGGAGCATATCAGATAAGTTGTTCATTCAGTCAAGACCTTCAGGTTGTGCTGATCATCATATCAAACTCCATCACATGTTGTGCCTGAAAAACATACAAATTTTAAAAGTTGTTGCAGCACACTGGGCCATTCCATCTAATATAGCCCCCCACACCTATTGGGGGGTCTCTCATAATACCTTAAAAATTTTGGAACCCCATTGGATGCAATTTTGGATCCCTATGAATATCCTTCTACCCCTTTAGGATATAGTTCCTGCTCCTTTGGATATCACTAAAACACCTAATTTTTAGGAAATCTCTTAAGCTACCCTCCAGAAAAAATTAAGGTAAAAACTCCCTCTCTAAACTCCCCATATAGGATACCCAGACTCAATAGGGGGGCTATTAAATGGAATGACTTATTTGACTTGGTGAGTGGTGACTACCACCAAAGCAAAATGAAACATGCTGGCCTGCTTTACATACAGAATACATTTTGAAGCATTTCCACTGTTACTTGTAACGATAATCAGACTTGATGAGAAAATATGGAGTCTTTCTGTATGACTGTATGTTAGTGATGTAATCTCATTGTTCATAAGGCTGAAATAGTTTTAAACTCGTGTGAAAATAAATTCAGTGTAAATGTACAGTACATACCTTGATATACAGAACAATCAGTCAATATCATTTCATATTCCAGGCAACACTATCAGTGTTTATTCAGCCGCATTTGAAGCCGAACAGCATCTGGTATATACGAGGGTTGCCAAAGCGAACAAAACGATGTCACAAATATGAGCGTCATACTCCGACAAATTGATACAATATGATGATGAATGTTGCACAGTTTTGTGTACATGTGTGTTCACAGCTTATATCTGAAGTATTTTTCGTAAAATTTGTTAAAACTGTGAGAATAAATACATAAACAATCAACAAAACATGTATATTTTTAAGCAAGAAAATCGTAAGCGCCAGCGCTAATTGTAGTCAGCAACATAACGTTGTCGTTACTGCGCATGCGATAAATCTCCAAGAATCTTGGAGATTTCATCGTATTTTACCAGGGTCTTCCTCATCCTCGTTCCCAGGGCTTCTCGGCTGCCTGCGTTGCCGTAAGCCCTGGGACAAGCCAAACCGGAACACCACAAATTCTGGTGTTTTCCGGAAGTAAACGCGTTCTGCTGCAAGCTAAAAATGCTGACTATGCACTAATTTTTACTCAGGAGTGGAGACGTGTTGGTGAGCAGAAAATATTGGATTTTTCATTTGTTTCGATGTATTTTCCACCATCAAGGGAATATGTGCAGACCACCTAATGGAATTATACATATTGGGGGTTTATATTTCGTTATATCGTTAATATTCGTCAAAATACAACCATATTTCGGTTTCGTATTACATGTATCAATTTTCATGTATGATGTAAACATGATCGAGTCGAAATGTGCTCGAAGTGGCCGCTGTGATTCGAAACATCATGAGGGTCCTGAAGGGGTAAAATGGGAACTGGGATTGATCTATTTTTAGACTGAGAAAATGGGATTTGGGTTGCTGGGACTGGGATTTGGCCACTGGGAATGGGAAATGAAGTCCTCAAAAATGGGAATGGGATTGAGGTAATGTGAGTCGATTCCCAATTTTTCTGCGTTTTGAGTATTTTAAAATACAATTTTGATCCGTTTTTGGTGTCTTTGGTCACGATTTTTGTTGTTAACTATATTATTCACAGCACTATACCTGTGAACAGGCATACTCTGGCGCCCGGAATTCTGGGTTTTATGATTATGTGTGTCTCAGAATGCTGCAAATGCCATTTCCGGGATTCAAATCTAAAAATTTTCCGTGCCTTTGGCACGAGCCCCCCCGGATATTTCATAAAGTGTCCGCCACTTGCTTAAAAGGTCTTAAAACTGTTTATTCTACCGATAAATGAAGGGGTTTTTATTGACTGGGATTTCAATAACTGGGACTGGGATTTGTAATAAAAATCCAACTGGGACTGGGATTTTGCCAAAATTTCGGGTGGGAAATGGGATTGGGACCCCCCCTTCAGGACCCTCCATCATGGGTTCTTGTACAGATGACCTGTTTCAACACGCGCTTGTAAAGTCACTTCAAAGACTAGACAAAGCCGGACTGGAAATTAAAGAGAAATAATTCGAAGCTTTATCGTCCATCGACGTATGTTGTATATTAAAAGGAACAAGAACATGTGACATGTTTAAACGGCGGTGTGTGTCTGTTTACTGGGTTACAACAACGGCAATAACAATGAATCACCTAACATTTCAAGAAAATATAAATTATAGATAGATGTCATGTATGACGCCATGAGTTTTGGATTTGAATTGCTAGATTTAAATCTATATTTATATGTATACAAAATCATGCGTGCGTAAATTTGAGCAAAAAAGCACAAGGTGTTTGTTTGGCCATATGCCCATCATGTAGCCCAGTATGAATATTGAATACCGTTTTACTGTATATAGCACGTTTAAAACGTTATTTCCATGCGGGATAATCCTGAATCCTTCACCGATTACATGCCGTGGCAAATGAAGGAAAATTATGTAAAATAATTAACCTAATATGTCTTTAGACATGAATGCAAATCACTATGCTGCTTGATACATCTGACAGTCAAAACTATGTGCATGACTGTATGGCTCAATGTATGTTAATTGTTTCAGGGAAATTTTTGTTTTTAGATTAAAGTATAACAATATTTTCTGCATTCCAATATATTTTAATCTACATGCAAGTGTGCCTTCTGTTTCAGATAGGGGCCAAATCATTTGAGGCTGAATGGGATAATGTCAAGTTATCACTGGTCAATTTTTAAATTTCTTACAATTTCACATCAGGGAGTTTGTTGCCCCCCCCCCCCCTCATTATCCAGAAATGTGACTAAGTGTTTTCTAGTATCTATCCAGGTGTCCAATCTAAATCACCACAATAGGATGTATACCTGAGTGATGGTAAGGGAGGTGGGGTTAACATTCTGATTTATAAATAGATTAATACACATTTCCACATTAAAAGTATGAAAAGTTTTCCAGTTCAATAGACTGTATCTATAGCAGGAGGCTTAAACCAGAATTTCAGAATACAATACAACTTTTATGTCATTTTTGTAATGGTTTAAAATCAATTTTTATACAGACATGGTAGGGTGTCTCCTGGCTAGAAGCCTGCATATCACATACAAATTTTCAGTTTTGTCAATATTAATAGTTCATTTTATAATTTCAATTCTTACAAGATTTGCAATAAGTCAACAGAATAAGTATTCTATTCTGAACTGTTGACAGGAAACAGTGTAAATACATGATCTCATCCAATATGACACAAGAATTCGAGACCCCCACCTTGGGCATACCAGGGGCATTCACTTAGTTTGGTGTGTGAAATTCAGTGAAGTCCCCTGCAGCCACGACAAAATGGCAAGGTAAATTTCTTCGGTCCTATCATCCTCAGGTATTCAATTGGAATTTTTACATGAAATTTCCCAAACCATTCCTTTACTGTTCTGTAAAAGCCTTTCCTAGCCGACTGCTTTATTTCAGCATTTATATAAAAGACTATGCCTTTCCTAGCCAAATGCTTTATTTCAGCATTTATATAGCCGACTGCTTTACTTCAACATTTATATAAAAGACTAAGTGACCCCCCCTCCCCCATGACCTCATTCATTCCTGACTTGGACACTGAAAGTAAGTGTCTTCCCTGTTTGCCAAAAAATGATAAACCAGTGAATAAGAGGCGATTGTTCTTGCATTCCGCTCTGGTATGCCAAAGGTGCAGGGATTCAAGTGACTGGTGCAATTGAATATGCTTATAAGCTTATTCACTGTATTTAATTAAAAGCTATTAAAATTACTCACTAATAATACAACTGAGAAAATTCAGAAATAGTAAAATACACCTATAATATTCTATATGCTATATTTAAAAATTCCAATTGGCCATATTAATATAGGGCCATTTTAATATAGGGCCATTTTAATATAGGCGGGTAACAGGCCAAGTGACCAATACCAAAAGCATAATAATTAATAAAACACAATATATTAAACCATTAAAACTTTACTATCGTAAATATATATTATTAAACATTTTACATTTACATTTACAAGGTGCTTAAAATTTTACAATTATACTTGAGCACAATGTTTTAATAATAGGCAACTTTATAACAAGTCTAAACAAGAAAATGTCAAAACGAAGAAACTTTTTAATGGCTTCATAATTGACGTTTCTTCGATATTGTTGCTTACTTCTAGTTTATAATTGTCCATTTTGTTATTTTCTTTCTTTCTGTTTGTAAATTATCTCCATTAATCTATAGAAAACAAGCAGTATACGCTTGTATTTCTTCGTATTTCGAACGCGCACTCCTTGAAGGCAGCCATATTGCCGAATATAAACATCCACTTGATGAATAAACTTTTCATACTTCACTCTATTTCCAACGACCAATCAAATCACTTCTGCTTCGGCTTGTCCCAGGGCTTACGGCAACGCAGGCAGCCGAGAAGCCCTGGGAACGAGGATGGGTCTTCCTCAGCTCACGCGCCACCACGAGGAAGACCCTGGGGACGAGGTTGGGCGCGAAGCCTCTGCACGATGCCACACCCAATATGGCGGTAAACCGGGGGGGGGGGGTGCGTATAATTATCAAACGCAAAATTCAAGTCAAAATGACTGAGAAAATATCTCTTTACAATACTGCAACAAGCTGACAAAGAGATTATTTACTAGCTCTACGAAATAAGAAAGTGTTATGTTCAATTTGCGAGAAAACATCTGCATTTTTTCTAGACAAGGTCTCCATCTACAGTATAAAACAATGCACGGAAACAACGTATTTAGCGAACAGGTTTTGGTTGCAAGCGAAGAAACTTTTATTTAAATTTATATTTGACATTTGTATTTTTAGAAATGTGTCCAAAACCGCATAAAAGTAAAAATGAGTATGTATAGCATACAGAACCATTATTAAATTTATTATCAAGACTGAAAATACAATTCAACTATTTCAACTTCAGCAATATTTATAAACAAACGCGACCTTCAGTCGGTTTCGACCTGATTTATTTGGACGTTCGTATCTTTGGTTCAATATACGCTATGTAGATGAAAATACCACCGTTCGATTCAGTACAAAAATATCTCCTAGTTTCTATCGATAGTTTTAGTGAAATGTCAACACTATAGCGAATTATGACCTTTGAAAGTCAAGCGGATTTTGTATATTAATATCAAATCACGCAATGTTTACATTTGATAAAAATATAAACTAGGCAAAGTAGGCATACCTTTCGGCGAACATAACTTCGGCTCCTTGGGACGCATCCTCTTTGTATTACTCTTGTTCGAAAGCGAATTCAAAACACTACTTAGAGTGTTATTTTTGAGCTTGTATCTTGAAAACTTCATCTTTTATTATGGTATGTCCATTCCTGGTCTGATTGTGAACTAATTCCCGAACATCAGCGTGTGACAGGCGCGTGCGACTGTGCGAGTAAAAACCCGATATTTTGAAAAATTAAGAATAAATATTTCTACTGGCCGTATTCAAAAGAAATTTTCTACACGAAAGCGCTTGAATACAAGGAGTATTTTACTTCTTTGACTGGTGGCGAATTCCGAAGAGTTCAAGAAATATTCAAGTTTTTCTCGATACGAAATACAGAATGTTTGGCTAAGCGGTGAGTAAAATATACGATTGTTTGCTTTGTGTATTAAATGTTAAAAAATATTACTTTTGACCATCCACAAACATGCAAGCACTAGTCAATGAGGTCAATCAATCATGGATTAAATAATGATTTAATTTTCAAAAAGACGTTTCTTGTTTAGTTTAAAAATAACCTTTTGTTTCGATGTTTACACTTTGTCCCACTTTGTCCCACATTGCGATGCAAATAGTGCAGAGGCTTCGCGCCTTCCTTCGCCTTTCCCTTTGCCGCCTGCGCTCCTTCGCCCAGCGGCTACGCTCGTGTTCCAAGATCCGCCATGTAAAGTGTAGTGAAATGTATCTCATCGTAATATTAAATCCTAAGAAAACTAAAGCCTCTGCGGAGGAGAGAGATTCAATACAAAAATTTTGTTCGCCGCTTACCCAGAGCTGCCACTCTCAATAGCCTATTTTCACCTAAGGCTAGTACTAAAATCCCCTACTTTTCCCTACAAGTCAATGTGTAATTTTCCCCTACATTCCCCTACGTTCCCCTACAAATATCGCATTTCCCCTGTAATTGTTGAGTTCAATATAAAACTGTATGTTATCCAAATATTAGTATGACGTAATACTGAGAGACAAATGCATGATGGGATTGTTGTGTTGTTAGTTGAACTTCCTCGTGAAAGCAACTTACTGTACAAAACTACATTTGTAATAAACGTGAAAATAAAGAGTGATTTCATTACAAATACGGTGTTCTAAAGTCATGGCTTCAACAGGTTATGGGCCCAGCAGAGAATCCCGCTGGTCAAGGTTGACTTTCGATGGAAACGAAAGCAATTACGAACTGTGGGAAGCGAAATTCCACGCGCACATGAGGTTATTAAAACTAAAGGATACTATCCTGCCGTCTGAAGAAGAGGCTGACGCAACAAAGAACGAAGAATGCTACGCCGAGCTTATACAGTGTTTGGACGACACCAGTCTGTCATTGGTAATGAGGGGTGCTACCGACGATGGCCGAAAGGCTTTACAAATACTCCGAGACCATTATGCAAATCAAGGCAAACCAAGAATCATCACACTCTACACTGAGCTAACGTCACTTGAAAAAGCACTTCACGAGACAGTCACAGATTACTTAATAAGAGCCGAGAAAGCAATAACAGCGCTTAAGAACGCCAAAGAAACGTTAAGCGATGGGCTAATAATTGCTATGATCTTAAAGGGGTTGCCTGATTCATATAAACCGTTCTCGATACATGTGACCCAAAGTGCAAGTGAGATAACGTTCGCGAAGGTTAAGAGCATGTTGAGGAGCTTCGAAGAAACGGAAAAGCTCAACACCAAACCGAAAATTGATCAGGTAATGAAAGCTGAGTTTCCTTCGCAAACAATGACATGTTATGGCTGCGGGAAAAGAGGGCATTTAGTCAGAGAGTGCCCTGCTAAAAGCGAGAAGAAGTGGTGTAACTATCACAAAAGTACAACACACTCGGATAGCACCTGCAGAAGTCAGCAAAAGAGCAAAGACCAAGCCAAACAGGTGTCGGAGAAAGAAAACACCTCTAAAGATGAACATTCATTTGCATTCAAAGTTAACGACGAAGCAACAGGGAAAATCAATCGAATGGGAATGTTGGTTGACACAGGTGCCCCTTCTCACATTGTTACTACTGATATTTTAAAGCAAATAGACATGACATTTAAACCATCAAAACATTACATTGAACTGGCTGATGGCACACGAGCCAGTAATATTGCATTGAAACGAGGGGATGCTGAAGTGTTTCTGAAAGATACAAATGGAAAATGTGTGAAAACGATGCTGAAAAACGCCTTATATATACCATCCTATCCTCAAGAT